GAGGAGGTGTAGAGTAGGAGGGGAGGGGGAGGAGGAGGAGGAGGAGGAGGAGGAGGAGGAGGAGGAAAGAGGAGGGAGGAGGAGGGGGAGGAGGAGGGGGAGGAGAGGGGGAGGATGAAGGGGATGAGGAGAGGAGGAGGAGGAGGAGGAGGAGGAGGAGGAGGAGGAGGAGGAGGAGGGGAGGAGGATGAGAAGGAGCAGGAGGAGGAGGAGGGGTGAGGGATGAGGGGGAGGACGAGGGGGGAGTAGTAGTAGTAGTAGTAGTGTTAGTAGTAGTACTACTACTAAGTAGTAGTAGTAGTAGTACTACTAGTAGTAGTAGTAGTAGTAGTAGTAGAAGTAGTAGTGTAGTAGTGTGTAGTAGTAGTAGTCGTAGTAGTAGTAGTAGTTAGTAGTAGTAGTAGTAGTAGTAGTAGTAGTAGTAGTAGTTGTAGTCTAGTAGTAGTAGTAGTAGTAGTAGTTTTAGTAGTAGTAGTAGTAGTAGTAGTAGTAGTTAGTAGTAGTGTAGTAGTAGTAAGTACGTAGTAGTGTAGTAGTAGTAGTAGTAGTAGTAGTATTAGTAGTAGTAGTTAGTAAGTAGTAGTTGTAGTAGTGTAGTAGTAGTAGTCGTAGTAGTCGTAGTCGTAGTCGTTAGTCGTAGTGTAGTAGTAGTAGTAGTGGTAGTAGTAGTAGTAGTAGTAGTAGTAGTAGTAGTAGTAGTAGTAGTGTAGTAGTAGTAGTAGTAGTAGGTAGTAGTAGTAGTAGTAGTAGTAGTAGTAGTAGTTAGTAGTAGTATAGTAGTAGTAGTAGTAGTAGTAATAGTAGTAGTAGAGGAGGAGGAGGAGGGAGGTGGAGGAGGAGGGAGGAGGGGGGAGGAAGAGGGGGATGAGGGTAGGAGGAGGAGGAGGAGGAGGAGGAGGAGGAGGAGGAGGAGGAGGAGCAGGAGCAGGAGCAGGAGGAGAGGGAGGAGGGAATGGGACGCAAAATAACGTACTAGTACGATGTACCTTCCTCGGAGGCGCACGTCCGAGCCGAGCAGATAACACAAGCATGCTGGCCAGCGCGGGCCCCGAGCAATGTGTTTCTAGCTATCCATGTGGTGCAACATACGCGCTGTAAACTAATGGTGTGCAGTGTGCATGTATGTATGCATAGGTGTATGCATGTATGTATGCATGCATGCATGCATGCATGCATGCATGTTCATAGGTAGATAGGTAGATAGGTTGGTATGGATGTATGTGTGTATATATGTATAAATGCATGCATGCATGTACGTGTGTATGTATGGGTGGATGGGTGGGGGGTGAATGTATGTATGCATGTATGCATGTATGCATGTAGGCATGTATGTATGTACGTACGTACGTACGTATGTATGTATGTATGTATGTATGTATATATGTATATGTATGTACATATACATATACATATATATATATGTAGATATTGCGTGGTCAATCTACGTTGTGCAGTCGATGCTGTGCAACACAACTGGTGCGGCCTAGTTGGTGCCATCTACATTGTGCAACTTATGTGGTGCAACCAGTGTTGTGCGCTCTACGTGGTGCAGTATATGTTGTGCAACAGATGTGGTACAATCGATGTTGTACACACTGTGCTGTGCGACATACGTGGTGTCATCCACGCGGTGTAATGTATCAGGTGAGCTCTATGTGGTGCACTCTGTGTGATGCTATCTTTGTGAAGAAATCTATGTGCTGCAATTCACTTCGACCGTCTTGAAGCTGTCCTCTCCACTGCTCGTGCAAACATCCCACCCTCCCACCCGCAACTTGGTCGCAAGACCTCTTGAGACAAGACAGCGACGGTAGGTGCCACATGGCACTTGGCCACGCCACCGACGCCGACGACGACAGCGACAACGACGACGACGGCGCCGCCGACATCGACTACGACGACACCGACGACGTCGCCAACAACTCCGACGACGACAACGACGCCGACGACGACGACGCCGACGACGCCGCCGACGACGACGACGACGAGGGAGGTGGGAGGACGACAACGACGACAACGACGACAACGACGACAACGAGGGATGAGGGAGGACGGCGAACACGCGAACGACGAAGAAGGAGGAAGGACGGCGACGCCGACGACGACAACGACGAGGGAGGAGGGAAGACGACGACGAGACGACGACGACAACGACGACGACGACGACGGCGACGAAGTAGGAGGGACGACGACGAGACGCCGACGACGGACGACGACGACGACGAGGGAGGAGGAAGGACGACCACGGCGACAACGACGACGGAAACGACCACGACGCCAAAGAGGACGACGACGACGAACACGAGGAAAGACAGAGAACAACGTAGGCGACGACGACGACGACGACGCGGGAGGAGGGAGGACGGCGACGACGACGACGACGACGACGCAAGAGCGCGCGCGCACGCTTTTGTTGAAAATCCGTGTTGGGACACCTTGGGTTTTTGTAGGTTTTTTGGACGCGCGATTTCGAAATCCTTCCGACACCGATGGGTTTGGAAGGATTTCGGCGTACGCGCGCGACGACGCGCGCGTCTGCACTTCGTCCTATTTGTTGCAAAGGATTCTCGCGACGGCACACGCGCAAAGGCGTTCGACAGATTTCGACATGCGCGCGCGCGACGCCCGGTTGGTAGCATTTTGTTAAGTATTGGAAAACCTATGGTTTTCTTAAGATTTCACAAGAGCTCGCGCGGAAGCTTTTTTAGCAACTCAGTGTTGCGAAACCTTGTGTTTTTGTATGTTTTTTGGACACTCGATTGCGAAATCCTTCTGGCACCGAAGGTTTTTGAAGGATTTCGGCATGCGCGCGCGACGACGCGCGCGTGTGCACTTCGTCTCCGTTTTTCAAGGGATTCGCGAAAAAAAAGGCTTATGCTAGAGCAAAAAATGTCACCACATAGTGTGTTTTTTTGCAAGGGAACCTCAAGGGGGGGAAACTGACCTAGCTGGGATGATATGGTTTCCTATTTAGGATGGACGAGTGTGCATAATATATATATATATATATATGTACAGTGTGGTGGGGATCAGCGGTCTAAATCTCACGCAGACGATAAGACGATAAGACGATAAGACGATATAAGACGATATGCCGATAAGACGATAGTACGATACAGGGGCAGCATACGATAAGACGATAAGACGATAAGACGATATAGGGCCACACCAGACGATAAGACGATAAGACGATAAAACCAGCTTACTGTCTTATCGTCTCATCGTCTGATGATGGTGACAACGACGACCACGAGGATGCTGATGATGGTGATGGTACCGCTGATGGTGATAGTGACGCCCATGGCGATGAAAATCATAAATGGTGATGGTTGTGATGATGGTGATGGCGGCGATGATTGATGATGATGATTGTGATGATGGCGAGGATGGTGATGGACGAAGATCATGGTGCACATGGGTGTTATGACAGTGGTGATGGTGAGGGTGCTGGTGAAAAAATGAAAAAACTTGATGATGGAAATTGCGATTTGGACCTGCGTTTCAATGATTTTGGAAGCATTGAAACATATGCCGTACATCGTTGAAGGTACGCCTGTGTATATACATGGTGCGCGGGTCTCAAGCGGAAGTGGCCTGACCACCTTAGCTCAGGGCATGTTGGAAACTAAGATTGCGAGGACGTCTCGGGCGAAAGTGGCCTGAACACCATGGGGCAGGGAACCTTCGAGGTCCGACTTGCGAGGATGTCTCGCGCGAAAGTGGCCTGAGCACCTCAGCTCAACGCGTCTCGGAATTTAGAGTTGCGAGTATGTCGCAAGTGAAAGTGGCCGGACTACCATAGGGCAGGGCACCTCCGAAGTCAGCGTTGCGAGATTGTCTCAGGCGAGAGTGGCCTGACCATCTCAGCTCAAGGCGTGTCGGGACCCAGAAAAGCGAGGATGTCAAAACCGAAAGTGGCCGGACCGCCAGGGGGAAGGACATCTCGGAATCCAGAGTTGCGAGGATGTTTCAAGCGAAGGTGGCCAACTCACCTCCAATCAAAGCACTTCGGATCCCAGAGTGCCGAGGATGTCTCACGCGAAACGGGCGAGAACCCTTCGAGAACTGCATTTTGGAACCCGGAGTGGTGAGGATATCCAAGGCGAGACAACCCAGATCATCACAGGTCGGGGCACATGTGAGCCCACACTGTCGAGGATGTCTTACGCGAAACGGGCGTCCTCCTCCTCCTCCTCCTCCTCCTCCTCCTCCTCCTCCTCTTCCTCCTATTCCTCCTACTCCTCCTCCTCATCATCCTCCCGCCTCCTTCGCCTCCCCTGGCGTCTGATTCACTCCCCCCCGCCTCCTCACCCTCTTTCCTGTCCTCCTCCTCCTCCTCTTCCTCCTCCTCCTCCGCCGGCCGAACCGAGGCGGCGGGCCGGCCGGTCGAGCCGGGACGAAGACGACGACGACGACGACGACGAGGACGACGACGACATCCTCTCCCAAACATTTTACCAACGCACACACTGTACTCACACAAGTGTCCACCGGAGGCCTCGGGAAGGCTCCGGTGGCCTGCAAAAGGGCAATGAATTCCAAATCCTCGATCCTGGAACCTCGATCCTTGAACCTCGAAGCGAGAGCGGTGGCGGCGGCGACGGCGGCGGCCGCGGCGACGACAACGACGGACGAACTCCGACCCCGCGACGACGGCGGCGACGACGACGACAATGTCCGGGATATCCCAGACCAGAGCGGAACATCTTCGGCCGTCCGCGGACGGTTTCGTCGTCGTCGTCGTGACCGTCGTCGTCATCGTCGTCGTCGTCGTTGTCCTTTTCGTTCGTCGTCGTTATCGTGGCTAACGTCGTCGTCGTCGTCGTCGCTGGCGTCGTCGTCGACGCTGGCGTCGTCGTCCTCGTCGTCGTCGTCGCCACGTGGGAACGATGCGAGACTTTGCCACGGCTCTGTCGGCGGCTGGGCCCGGACTCTGAAGGGGGCGGAGGAGGGGGAGGAGGAGGAGGATTTGTTTGCCCGCCAAAACCGCGGACGCAATAAGCAGAGGTAGATTTTCTGGCACTCCTGGCCTCGGCGCCGTCGTCAAAAGCCGCAACGGCGGCGTCGACGGCAACGACGGCGACGACCGCGACGACGCCGACGACGACGACGGCAACGACAACGACGACGACGTCGACCCCGACTGTCGCCGACATCGTCGCAGATTTTCTGGCCACGGCCTCGCGGCGAGCCAGGCCAGAAAAAATCGCCCCTGGCGCCGGAGGCAATCAGGGCGCGCCGCTAGTTATGACGCGGGGCCGAGTGTCGCGAACGAGTGGGACGCCATGCAAGCGCGCCAGCGCCAGGCGCCACGAACGGCCCACGGGTGGCTCAAATTGCCACGACTGCCCGTGAATAGTTCGCTATGCGAAAGGGCGATTTTCTGGCACTCCTGGCCGCGGCGCCATCGCCTGAAAATCCGCGACGACGGCGTCGACGAATGTGCGCGGCGTTTCGGCGAGAGCTCAATTTTGGAAAAGAACCGCCCCCCATCCCTAGAGCTCTTGCTTACACATATACATATGTATATAAGCGGGACGAGTCAGCGAGAACCCAATTTTGAAAACGGCCCGCCCGCGAACCGTGTAACTGTTGCAAAAATCTGGAGACGAACGCGCGCGGCGCCTCAACGAGAACCCAATTTTGAAAACGGCCCGCCCTCGATCCGCGCAAGTGTTGCACAATGTTAAAAGGAACGCGCGCGGCGCCTCAACGAGAGCCCAATTTTGACAGCGGCCCGCCCTCGACCCGTGCACCTCGTGCAAACTACGAAAACGAATGTGCGCGGCGCCTCAGCGAGAGCCCCAAAAAAAAAACAAACAAAAAAAAAAAAAAAAAACTACCCGCCCATTTTGAAGACGACCCGCGCAATTCGCTCACGTTGCAAAATATAAAAACGAATGTGCGACGACGGCAAAGATGACGACGGCAACGTCAGCAACGACCGACAACGACGACGCCGACGACGAAACCGACCCCGAGTGTCGCCGACGTCGTCGCAGATTTTCTGGCGACGGCCTCATGGCGACCAATGCCAGAAAAAATCGCCCTGGCGCCAGTAGTGATCAGGCCGCGTCGCGCATGACCGCATCGATCACTGCTGCCGGGTGCCCCTCGTGTTTCTGGCGGTTCTTGTGCTTTTTCCTTGCAGCGAGGATGTGTTTCTTCCTTGCCGCGAGGGCCGTCCTGTTGTGCTTGCGGACCCGCTTGTCCATGAATAAGCACAATTACATCGTGAAGTACTCCGCCTGGCCCTTGTACTTGAGTTTTTTTCATGAGCTCTTTCACCCTCTTGCACTAGAAATATTTTCCAAGCCTGACCACGTACTCGCTGGAGTCGGGGAAGGCCTGCGAGAAGCCCTTGAGCGTCAGGTTCTTCTCCACCTTGAGCCCTATCGTGCAGAGGCCCCGCGCCATCCGCGCGCCCACCAGAGTGGCTCGGCAGAGCCCGAGCTCCCGATATGATCCGGAACTCTTCCCCATTTTGGAGACGGCGGCCCGCCAGTCGGCGGTCGTGCCCTCTGGGATAATATAAGTTCATACATGTATATATATATATATATATGAAATTATATTATCCCCGAGGGGAAGCGTTAAGTCCGGGGGGGGGTAGAGTCTATTCTCTTTTTAGATCGGAGAATCTACGCGTTTCAATTTACGCTGTGCAATAGATGCGGTGCGATCAGTGGGCGCGGGCGGCGACGAGACGGCGACGGGGCGGCGACGAGGAGCACGGAACCACCAGACCAGCACTCAAGGACAGTTCCATAGAACCCCCCCCCCCCCGAAAAGCAAGCACCGTTCGGGGAATCTCGCAGTGTGTCGTTAGCCGAGCGGTATGGTCAGAAATCGCCCGCCACCGAGCATACACTAGAAGAGTTCTAAGCGCGCGTCGCCCCCGAGGGGAAGAGGGGGGGGAGGGGGGGGCGACGCATACTTTCCGTCGTGTGGCTATTCGGGGCAACTGGAAGGCGAATTGGCTGGCGTGCCAGAAGGGGGGAGAATACGGGGGCGGCGGCGCAGGGGGAGGGGGAGGGGAGAGAGCTCAGACGTGGGACGGCTCCGCGTAAAGCAGACGTGGAACGGCTCCGCGCAAAGCATGCGTGGAACGGCCAGCCGGGGCAGCGGGCACCGTGGCAGCAGCCGGGGGGCGACACACACACACACACACACACACACAACACAACACAACACAACACAACACAACACAACACAACACAACACAACACAACACAACACAACACAACACAACACAACACACACACACACACCACACACACAACACAGCACAGCACAACACACACACACAACACACAACACAACACAACACCACACCACACCACACCACACAACACAACACAATACAACACAACACAACACAACACAACACACCACACCACACCACACCACACCACACAACAACACACCACACCACACCACACCACACCACACCACACCACACCACACCACACCACACCACACCACAACACAGCACAGCACAGCACAACACAACACAACACAACACACACACACACACGGACTGGCGGCGCACCGCTGGAGGCGGCGGGCCCTGCACGAAAAGCAAGCGGATCGTGAGGGCCACGGCGCCAAGGGGTGCCGCACGCCATCGCGCACGGCTCCACGGCAGGACCTCTCCCGCGCCCTCGAGGGGCTGGGCTCCTGCAAAGACCTGGGCCAAGCCCGTCCTGCCTTGTGGCGCCCCCCTGTCAACCGCCGGATGCCGAGGGGGACGGCGGCGTGCGCTCGGCGCCGCGGGCGTGACGCGTGGACCCTAAGAGCACGGGAAAGCTGAAAGTACGTGCTCTCTACCGATCGGCACCTGGCACTCCCCCGCTGAAAAGGGGGATCACTTTGTGCCCCGGCTGCACGAAAGCACGCGCGGACGCATCGTCGCAAACATCCTGGTTTCACTCTGGTCCGCCGCTTGCTCCTCCTTCTCCTCCTCCTCCTCCTCCACCTCCTCTTCAATCTCCTCATATTCCTCCCCCGCCTCCCCTCCCACACCCCTCGTCCCGATCACTCTTCCGACCTCGTCACGTGCCATCCCTCCTCCCTCCTCGCAATGTGCTCATCACTTCACAGACACGTATTATTCGTCCGCGTCCTCGTCATGCCTCCTCTCGTTCACTTCCTCGCCATCCCTTTTTTCCGCATCGTCGCCCTCCCCGTATTCGTGCTCATCAACTTCATCCTTTATCCTGTACGCATTTGTCCCCGTATCCGTTATCGATGCTGAGGCTGCCGATGATCCACATGATCCCCCATGGTCCCCCATCTTCCCTCCACAATCACCCTCATGTTTTCCCCATCCATTGTCCCCCATTGTTGCCCTTCTTCCTCCTCACCGTCATCATCACACCATCACCATCTAGCCTCCATGCCCTGTTGTTCCGTTTCACACCCATTGTCAAACTCGCTCTTCCCATCCTCCCGCTCTTCCTCCTCATCATCATCATTATCCACCTCTTCCTCCTGCGTTTCCTCCCCCCCGTTCTCTTCCCCTGCAAATGTGGTAGGAGCCATGTTTACAGAGAAGGCGGATAACACTTGAGCCAAACACATGCGGCCAACGATGAACATGCACAACTACCGGCGCAAGCAGGAGGCGATACTGGTTTGGGTATTATTGTACAGGGTCTTTCTGACACGCGATACAGTTTGGCATTTGCCACCAAGCACCGAGGTATGCAACATGTGTGACATCTTGTTTTGAAACCGAATAGACGCGCATCTGGATCCTCAACTGATGTGTGCTCAAGTACCCGGCAAAACGGCCTGCGGAGATAACCCAGATGTGGACCCGATTGGGCTAACACTCTGTGGCTGGTGCTACCCCGTGCCTTCCATTGACACGACGTTGAATCGTGCATTTTTCATGCACATGGGCATGATACCCCTTCTCGCAAACATAGTTAACTTAGGCAAGTCCAAGATCCCCATCAGTTCCCACTGTGGATATTTTCGTGTATCCTCGTCGCCCCCTCTCCCTTACACAAACAGGGGGAACCTCGATGTGTCCGATGTGTCCTGATGCTCGCCTGCTCGCTGTGGCAATAGCTGAACTGGCAACGCTCTTTCGCAAGATGTCACATTTAACCTCCAAGTCCTTGAGAAACGCTTGGGTTCCAACGCTACTGCGGCGTCTTTCAGCATTCCCCAATACTCTGTTGCTCAAAAGAAAATGCTACTATTCTCTGAATCGGACTCCACGACTTTACCATATGTGATCCGCACATGACCGTTCCTCCTCGTGCCGACGCGCGTGCTTTCTTGCATCTGGCATAGCCGGTGTCAGTACATACGGTTGACTCCCTGAGAAATCCGTGATACAGATTTTGACACCCACATCTGTTGTGGTTCTGGAGGTACTTGCCCCATGTGGTAAGACTTGTCCATGCCCCGTGAAGCGGGGCTGACATGGAACGCGCAAGCTCCTTCACTGAAAACTGTGTACCGAAAGGTCCCGTGCTAAATACTTTGCCCTGGCCGCTCGTGCCTGGCATTTCTGAAATTTATGACTTGCCAGTGCCTCCTTCTGTGCAAGGTAGCTTTCCACCAGGCATCTCTCATCGCACTCCGCACCGCCCCATGTAACCAGTTGACAAATATCTCAGCACGCGTCTGATTCGCCACCTACCCCACCGGTCCCATTGCGCAATCCAGCTAAGAGCCCAGGTCAACTTCTAAATCTGTATGTCCTGGTGGATTTGAACTTCAGATTAATGTCTAACTTCATCTTTGAGCCAGCGAAGACCAACATCATTATCCATCAACCCCATGGTCCGTTCGACCTCTTCACCTGGCCACACATTGAAATACGAACAGTGACGCTTTCCCGTGGTCAAAACCAACATCACGTGCAAAGTCCATGCAACGGTGTGCCCCGTTGCTGGCGGAGTCCCTGGCGCCGTGCATTGGCTATAACAGTCTTCCACACATACCTGGTTCGCGATCGTCCTCGGGCAACATGATGGAGATGCCTCCTGCGGCCCCAGCGTGCCCGCCAAGTGTTTGTAAACGGAAGATCGAATTATTTCTCACACGCCACTCGATTATACCATATTCCCTCGGCAACTACCAAAGATAACAGCAGCAGCAGCAGCAAGCAGCAGCAGAAGCAGCAGTAGGGGCAGGGAGAGAGAGTGAGGATCTAGAAGGACGGGGGATCGAGGGTGGGTAGAGGAAGGGCAGGTTGGCGTGAGGGAGCGGGGGAGAGAGACTGAAGGCGAGGACGCAAGGAGGAGAAGGCGCAGGGCAGCGGGGAGGAAGCGGCGCGGAGCGCGCCTGACGCCGTGGTGGACGGCGGCGTACACGTACGCGTACATGTCGGCCTGTATGTCGCCGCGGTCCTGGGAAGGAGAAGCGGCAGCCAGGAAAGCGGAGGATTCCAAGGTGGGGGGGATGAGGCAGCTCTGGGGTCATCCTTATCTCTCCTCCTTGTCCCCCCCCTCGTCCCCGTCCTCGTGTTCGTCCTCGTCCTCATCCTCCATCTCTCTCTTCCTTCTCAATAAATCCTCTCCGTCGCACCCCCAGACGTGTGGGTACAGGCGTTTCGCCTGAGACTTCCTCACCATGTCTGATCCTTACGTTGTGGGGCCAGGGCGCGCAGAGAAAGCGAGCGACAGCAGGCTCGGAGGGGAGCCAACCCTGGCGTCAGGTCGGGCCTGCCCCCTGCAGGCGGATCCTGGACGATTTGGGAAGACTCCTCCTGTGGAGGGACGGGCCCGGTCTAAAGCCAACCCTGGCGAGCCTCCTGGCAACAGCGCCGGCGACGCGGTGTGCGCCAGCGGACAAGCGCTTTCCATTGCTCGCAGAAATGAACTGCCCGCAAAGGGCCAACGATCCGCCGCGGCGGGGCTTCTCGGTCCACTCATAGAAGAAGAAAAACCGCATAAACATAAACTTTTGGCGCTCCGCGCGGATTTCTTGGATTCGCGCCGCGCCAGGGGCGGCGCCGGAGGCGCCGCCGGGGGGTCCAAGCGCGGATCTAAGAAATCCGTGCTGAGCGCCAAAAGTTTATGTTGATGTGGCTTTTCCTTCGAATTGAAGCGAGGCCAGCATCTGTATTTCGGACGTTTGCGAGTAGGCACTTTGCGAGTAGTGGAGCGCGCTCGGTGAGCCAGGAGCGGGCGGGCGCGCTGGAAGAGAGCTTCCTGGCAGCAGCGCTGGCAGTGCGATGGCTGCCGGGAGCGAGCGGCCACGCTGGAAGAGAGCTCCCACGGCGGTCTTCTTGGCGATGTGCGCCGCAAGCGAGCGGGAACGCTTGGAGGGAGCTTCCTGGCAGCAATGCTCCACATGAAGGCAGGGAGGATGAAGGGGGCAGGGAGGAAGGAGGAAGGAGGGGAGAAAGGAGGGAGGTGGGAGGAGCCAGGGGGGGGAGAAAGGAGGAAGCTCGGAGGAAGGACGGAGGCGGGAGGAGGGAGACGGGTTCGGAGGGAGGAGGGGGAGGACTTGGAGGGAAAAGAAGTAGGCGGGAGGAGGATTGAGGAGCAGCAGACGCATCGGAGAAAGGAGGCAGGAAGTGGGACCGTCTGGTCCTGCGCGTACACAGGATGCATCAGATCCCACCACGTCGGCATGATCTTTTTGAAGTCCGTGTTGTGCAAGATGTACGGCGGCCCCGCTGGGTAGTCCGCCACCGTGCCTTCGGCACGCAGCAGGGGCGTGCTGAAGCCAAGATCGCGTCTTCCTACGATTCACGGGAGCGCCCCTTACCGAGGACGCCGCCCCCCTTTCCCTCTCCACTGGTAGCGTCATGGTTCGCGCCGGCGCCGTCTGGAGTGGCCAGGGGTAGCAAATTCCCAGACGTCGCCAGCGCGAATCGTGACGTCACCGGTCCCCTCCAGCCCCCACTGGTGACGGCCGTCATGCAGCATTCCGGAGCCTTCTGGAGGCCCCCCCATGCTGGATGCCCCCCGAGGACCGAAAAGAGACAGACTCTGATCTAGGTGCTAGAAAAACAACAACTGGCATAAACGGAAAAGAGCTCAGAGGTCCCCGCGATTTTTGGGATCGGCGCTGGGACTCCCTCCCCGGTTTGAGGAGCGCGCGCCAGGGGCGCAGCCGGAGGCGGCGCCAGGAAGCTCCAGTCCCGACCCAGGAGATCCGCGCGGGCCCCCACAGGTTCACAGACACGCGACGCCTTGGTGTTCTCAACAAGCAAACCCCTGAAGTCCCGACCTTCTCTTCCTCATCCTCCTGTTCTTCTTCTTCTTATTATCATTATTTCTATTATTCATGTTATTATTACTTTTATCCTTATTATTGTTACTATTATTACTAGAAGTGAAATTATTATGTTTATTGCTCTTCATATTACTCCTATTATGATTATTAATATCATTCGTATTTCTCTATTGGTATTATGTTTCTGCTTCTGCTTCTGCTTCTGCTTCTGCTTCATCCCCTCCTCCTCCCCCCCTCCTCTTCCTCCTCCTCCTCCTCCTCCTCCTCCTCTTCCTGGGCCGGTGTGTTCATCCTGAAGAGTTGTTCGACGTTCTCGAGGCCCAGCGAGGGCCCCCAGAGGCCGCCAACGGCCAACAGCCTCCCGTCGTGTCTTCCTCGACGCGTCTTTGTTTCTGTGTGTGGCCTCTCGATCCTCGGATCTCGACGCTGCGCTGGCACGGTGGCGGTGTCTGCCGCAGGCGGCCGCAAACTGCTCCGCCTCCTCTCGCGGGGACGTAACTGAAGCAGGGGCCGGCTGTCCCGGCGCTCCTACAGTCCTACCACGACATGTTCCTAGAACCCAGAAATATTCTTAGAACATCAACCCGATGTGCTAAAGCAAGACAGTCTCAGCCAGAAATGTTCTAAGAACATTTCATGCAGAGCACAAAAGGTTTTAGAACATTCTTTGGTGGGCCTATAGGCGAGCCAGGACGCTTCGCCACTGCTCGAGTAAAGGCGTGGTGCGGGCAAAATGGGGCTGGAGAAAAACCGCTCCGAACGGCCCCAAAAAGAATGAGCCAGATATCAAGCAATATGATTTGGTCAACCAGCTGTTTTCCTTTGATATCGCTCTCTTGGACTCGATTTCGGGTCCAGGGACCATCCCAAATGTGTCCAGGACGAAGAGAATCTCTGGGGGACTCGAGTTGAAGAAAACATGTCGGCGGATATCAAGGGAGATGTGAGCACCCAGTGGAATTCCCTACCCACACCTTCTCGGCACAACCCACCATCCCCTCGGGTCTTCCAAGATGGGCGCCCGAGAGGGGGTGGTCGCAAATCGTACTTGCGCGGACGAGCAGGGGGGATCAAGAGACAGATCCAAAGACGAAAAGATGTCATGGTCCCGACCTTGAATAGAAGAACGCGCCGGGGGGCGGCGCCGGAAGCGCCGCTGAAGCGCCAGTAGTTCATGTTAATCTTGTTTTTACGCATTCGAAAAGTCTTGGCCTTTCTATCTCCGAGGCCTCGTGGCCTTCGGGCCCAAACCCGAAGGCCTCCGGCGACCGTGCGAGAAGGCCCCCAGGAACCGACGAAAGCTTCCTCCACGAGCCAAAGAAGACGTCCACGTGCCCCTATCGGCGCGAGCGAGGGGGGCAGGGAGAAGGAGAAGGCCTTCTCAGAGGGCGGCGAGACTTCTCAGAAGCCCTCGCGCCTTCTGAGAATTGCTCCGTGCCTTCGGGGAAGGCTTGGAACACTTCTCGGGCCAGGGGACTCCCGAGCCTTTTGCGGAGGCTTCACTTCCTCACTACCCCCCTCGCTCGCCGCCGATCCAAGAGCCAACGAAAACGTCCCCACGGCCCCAGTCATCACTCCCCTCTTTGGGCACCCCCCCTCTACGAACCCCCGATCCTCGCGCGTCACGTTGGCGCATGGGCTGTCCGCGCCGCCGGGGCAGATCGTGTGCTGGTCGAATTTGTACAGCCACGCCGCGCCGAAACCGTACTTCTGCACCACGGCCAGGCCGGGCTGCGCAACGTCGGTCACCAGGTGCTTCAGCCGCTCGGGGTACCTCGCAAGCGGCAAGTGTATCCAGAACTCGACTGCACGCACGAGTGCGACCTTTTGTGCGCGGCTTTCGGGGGGCCGCGGGTAGGCCAAACCCGAGCGCGCCGGCCAGTGTTGAAGCCAACTATCCACGTCCTCGCTGCAGCCAGTGTTGAAGCCAAATATCCACGTCCTCGCTGCGTGAGTGCGTGCGTGCGTGCGTGCGTGCGTGTGTGTGTGTGTGTTTGTGTGTGTGTGTGTGTCCGTGCGTGCGTGCGTGTGTGCGTGCGTGCATGGTGTGTGAGTGTGTGTGTGCGTTGTGTGTGTGGTGTGTGTGTGCTGTGTGTGGTGTGTGTGCTGTGTGTGGTGTGTGTGGTGTGTGTGGTGTGTCTGTGTGTCTGTGTGTCTGCGTGTCTGTGTGTCTGTGTGTCTGTGTGTGCGTGTGTGCGTGTGTGCGTGTGTGCGTGTGTGCGTGCGTGCGTGTGTGCGTGTGTGCGTGTGTGCGTGTGCGCGTGTGCGCGTGTGCGCGTGTGCGCGTGTGCGCGTGTGCGCGTATTCGCGTGGCCGTTATGCGCGTGTGCGCGTGTGCGCGTGTGCGCCTGTGCGCGTGTGCGTGTGGGTGTGGGTGTGGGTATGGGGTGTGGGTTTGGGGTGTGGGTGTGGGTGTGGGTGTGGGTGTGGGTGTGGGTGTGGGTGTGGGTGTGGGTGTGTGTGTGTGTGTGTGCGTGCGTGCGTGCGTGCGTGCGTGCGTGCGTGCGTGCGTGCGTGCGTGCGTCCGTGCGTGCGTGTGTCCGTGCGTGCGTGCGTGCGTGCGTGCGTGCGTGCGTGCGTGTCGTGTATATTGCTATCGGTGCACTCAGTCGGCCGCAAGAAGCCCGACCACCTGCGGGCCCAATGCTGGCCCTCGTGTATGACAAGCTCGACGACTGCTGGAGGAGGAAGATGGAGCGCGACCACAAAACTTCACCTGACTCGGCCTAGACCGCTGTGCGAATCAACAGAAGGTCGCCAGGCCAACCGGGAACACTACAAGAGCCGATCAAG